TTTTTTATTAGCTTGATGTTAATAGATAGAAGTTGAAAAAAGGGAGAGCCCTACAGAAAGTTGAGCAAGAATTTATTATTATTATTATTAGGTTCTTGGGAGTGAATCCAGGGCCTCATATATGCTATGCAGATGTTCTTACCATTGAGTTATATAACTAACCCTTAATTAAGAATTATACATAATTTTGGACTGGAGATATAGCTCAGTGGTTAAGAGCAGTGGTTGCTCTTGCAGAGGACCTAGGTTCATTTTCCAGCACCCACATGGCAGTCTGTAACTCCAGTTCCAGGGGATCCAGTGCCCTCTTCTGACCTCCACAGGCATTGCATGACATGGTTACACTTCCACACATGCAGGCAGTACACTCACACACATAAAATAAAAATAATAAGTAAAATATTTTTTAAAAAAATACAGGATCTGCCTGTAGCCCCAGCTGTCCTGGGACTCACTATATAGACCAGGCTGCCCTCAACCTCACAGAGATCTGCCTACATTTTCCTCCTGAGTTCTGGGATTAAAGGTGTGCATCATCAGGCCTGGCTAGTTTCAATTTTTTGAGGAATGTTCAAACTCATTTTCAGATAGGTTTCACTAACTTGTGTTCTCATCAATGGTGAATAGAGGCTCTTTTCCCCCCTGAAATCCTCACCAGAATTTGTTGTTTTTCTTTTTTTAATATCAAAATTTTTATTATTTATTCTACACAATCAATTGACATCATAGCAAATAAAAAGGAAAACATTTAAAAGTTTATTTAAATGAATGGAAATATAAATGTGTTAATAATTGTAAGTCCAAAGAAAACAAGCATAGTAATATTTTATATTAAAAATGTAATTTTCCCTAAGTAATTGCTGTTCACGACAACCTCAAAATATGTCTGCAGTGCCTTTGTACCATATGTTTACCAAGCACAAAAATTCTTAGCCATGGTTATGAGCACACAGCAATTTCTGACAAATGATTTTGTGTTCAAAGAATTATTTTCCTTGCCCAAGATAAACCAGAAGACTGAATATGCCTAGATTCTTCACAGGACAGACACCAGGATACCTTGATTATCTAGAGACCCATTTGCAGAAACAAAGAATGGATGAAATTGTTCCCTGTCAGATTTTTTTTTTTTTTTGTCTATCTGAGACAGGGTGTCTGTGTCACCCCAGCTGGACTGAAACTTGCTATGAAGACCAGGCTGGCCTCTATCTTACAGAGAGATCTTCCTACTTCTGCCTCTCAGGTGCCGAGTCCTCGTCAGAAAATTTAACAGATGTATAGATATGAGATCCATAGCCAACAGGAAATACTCCTGTGTTGGAGCTCAAGAAAAATCCCCAGTCTACATAGCTGAGAGTTCAGCTAGAGCTGAGCTGAGGTTTTAATGCTGGTGTGACACTTCTGCATTTCTCAAACCCATGATCCAAAAGCCATGTTCTTCAGACAGCGCAACTTGTTCTTGTTGAATGGACTTGCGAAGGCTTGTATCCCATTCTTCACTTGTTCCCAAATCTGGTTCCCAGTGATGGCGGCTAGAAGTGAGCAGGGAGGAGCCCGGGAGCAAAACTGAGACACACAACCTCTTAACACTTCCCTTCAGATCCAGCTTGTCAGACCTGCAATAGACATGCCCCTCAGGTCATCAGAAATGATGAGCTGGCTGTTGGTTATGTCCACGTCCAAGGTCATGTCCACTTGAAATGTCTTCATTCTTGGCTTCATCTGTAGACATCTCTCAGCTGGGGCTCTAGGTTTTTGATCTTGGAACTCAGATGCCCTATGGCCCTGTTGGAAAGTAGATCTAATATCCTTCTTAGAGACCTCAGAGCAGTGGGTCACAGTAGACCCTCTCCATGGGATTTCTTCTCCAGTGAGTCTGAGCATCGGAGACAGCAGTTATATCCACATTTCAGGTACGTGGGACTTTACAGTTCATGTGAGCAGACACAAAAGGTATTGGCTAGTGCTGACTAGTGCCTTACCTCTACTTAACTATTTTCTGCACTCCAGCTGTGTTCACTCCTGGCTGAGTTTCCTGTTTTTCTGATAAAAATCATTCTGACTAGGCTTGAATAGAATCTCAATTTAGTTTTGATTTGTGTTCCCTTGATGGCTAAAGATATTGAATGTGTTTCATATATTTATGGGCCATGGTCTCTTGAAAAATGTCTATTCAATTCTTTTGTCTAGTTACAGATTGGGTTGTTCATTTTTTTATCTTTACTTTTTGAGTTCTTTATATATTCTGGGTACTAATCCTTTGTTAGATAAACAGCCGACAGATTTTCTCCCATTCTGTAGGCTGTCTCTTCACTTTATTCTTTCTTTTACCTTTTTAAGTTGATGCTGTCCCATTTGTAAAATTGTTTTGCTGTTATTTCTTGGACTTTTGGAATCCTACTCAGAAAGTCCTTGTTTTGAGGTGATCTTCATCTGTTTTCCTCCAGTAGTTTCAAACTTTCAGATCTTTGTCCCATTTTGAGTTGACTCTTGTACAGAATGAGAGGTAGGGATAGAGTTTCTTGAATCCTACTCAGAAAGTCCTTGTTTTGAGGTGATCTTCATGTGTTTTCCTCTAGTAGTTTCAAACTTTCAGATATTTGTCCCATTTGAGTTGAGTCTTGTACAGAATGAGAGGTAGGGATAGA